GGCCGGGGAAGGCCGGCGACGGCTGCAGGAAGTCCGAGCTGCCGCTCAGGGGCAGCCCGCAAAAGGGCCGGCTGAGCGCGGCCATGGCCGGCGAGACGAGGAGTTTGCGCCCGCGGCCCCGTCCACCCGCGTCCCCAGACCCGGCGGCTGCAGCCACAGCGACTGCCGAGAGGCGCCCGCCTCCGAGCCCGTTCCAGACCCCACGTCACGCCTTCTAGAACCCTCCACCCCGGGATGCCCAGAGGCACGCCGGGATTTGTTGTGTGTGGAAGGCCGCTGCCGCAAGGGTTGCCGGGAGTTGCAGTCTTGCGGACTACAAACAAGATGGCTGCCTCTCGGCCTTCTAAGTAGAGTTTGAGGATGATGGCCTTGGCGGACCTAGAATATGGCTTGCCGTATAGGAGGTGCTTTGTTCGAATCCTGACGCCTCAAGTTATGTAAGCTCTTTACCTCAGTTTCTTCAGTAGTAAACCCAGGATAATAGTATCTGTCCTCACAGGGTTGATATGAGGGGTAAATGAATGAAAACATCCAGAACCCTTAAAACATTGACCAGGACATAGCATTCTCTCATTAAATATCAGCTACTGATTCCTTCTATGTTTTAATATGAATGAAGTTGTTAATACTCAAGAGGGAACAACATGGGGTATCAATAAAAACCTCAGAGCCCTTGTGAGAGTACTGGTAAACCTTCCAGCCTCTGCCTTGGGCAGTTGACAACATCTCCCACATAGGCATGGAAGGCAAAGAGTTGGTCGACCCAACCATGCCCCATTTTTCTCATCTCAGGGAATGGCACCACATCCAGCATGTGTTGCTTATGCCAATGTCAATGCCCTTCAGCCAAAGACTACCAAAAAACACATCTAAGTTGAACGAAGTTGGATTTATTGACTGCCTCATTGCAGTGAGGGAGAATGTGTACCATGGAGACCTAAGAGGTATCTCAGTGAGAAGTGTTAGCAAGAACATATTATAGGATTGGCTGTTGTTAGGTGATCCAGGGGCAAGTTCAAGGAGGTGGGGCTTTGCTCTGGATTGAATACTGTCAGAAGCAGGGATAATTATATGATCAGGTATCTTAATCAATCTTATATAGAAGATGGGAGGAATGAAGCAAGGCTAAACCTGTAATTAGTAAAGAAGCAACAGCCTTTATACTAGCCAGGATAGGTGATGTTTGATCATTTTTGTGATTTAGACAATGTTCATGTTTCTGTCTGGGTTCAGAGATAATGATGAAGTGGTCTTACTTCGTTGTTGTTAGTTTTTAAATTATTTCATTAAAAACTTTTTATTGTGGTAAGTATATAGATAACAAAACATTTGCCATTTTAACATTTTTTGAATGTACAATTCAGTGACATTTCGTTCATCATGGTGTGCAACCATCACCACTATTCATTTCCCATTTCCAAATTTTTGCATCAACCTTAACAGAAACTCACTGCTCCCAAACAATGACTCCCTTTTTCTCCCTCCATCCCATCCCTGATGGAAACCCTGGTAGCGTAGAGGTTAAGAGCTATGGCTGCTAAGCAAAAGGTCGGCAATTCAAATCCACCAGGCACTCATTGGAAACCTTATGGAGAAGTTCTACTCTGTCCTATAGGGTCGCTATGAGTCAGAATCGACTCGATGGCAGCGGGTTTAGTTTTTGGTTTCCCATCCCTGATAACCTCTAATTTACTTTCTGTCTCTATGAATTTGCCTCTTCTAGATATTTCATTTAAGTGGGATCATACAGTGTTTGTCCTTTTGTGACTTATTTCATTCGGCATAATGTTTTCAAGGTTCATCCATGTTGTAGCATGTATCAGGACTTCATTTCTCTTTATGGCAGAGTAATATCCCATTGTGTATATGTAGCACATTTTGTTAATCTATCCATCTGTTGTTTCTTAAGTGGTATTGTTTTTATCTTGATCCACTGTGGTCACAGAGTGGCCTTGTTTGGTGTTGGTATTCTGTGAAGTTGTTGATGTTTAACAGAAGGACATCAAGGCCTAGCTGATAATGCCAAGCCAGTCTCAGTGGTCAGAAGATGCTTTTCTTTCTGACTCAAAATTTATGAGTCATTACTGATGCCTCTTTTTTGTTCACCTTCATATCTAGTCGGTTAGCAAGTCCTGTGGGCTTTATTGGAAAATGCCCTCAGATTCTCTACATTTCTCTCCATTTCCATTGCTCTCACAGTCTAGGAAAAAAATGAATGAACGCTATACCTAATTCAGTATAATGGATTGTTTCAGTTTTCTTAATGACATTCACAATCTAGTTTTATCTCCCTACAGTGACACAAGAGGAGCCTGGGTGGCACAAGCAGTTTGCAATCAGTTGCTAACCCAGAGGTTGGCAGTTCGAATTCACCCAGTGGATCTTCCGAAGAGGCCTAGTGAGCTGTTTCCATAAACATTACAGCCAACAAAACCCTATGGAGCAGTTCTACTCTGTAACTCACGGGGTTGCCATGAGTCAGGGGCTGACTTGATGGCAGCTAACAACAATAACATGGTGACACTATGCTTACCTCAACTGAATATAAAAGGCAGTCTCCGGTGTCATTTCTACAAATGGTCACCTCATTCTGCACCTTAAAAAATATCCTTCCACCCATCAACAGATGAATGGATAAACAAACTATGGTACATACACACAATGGAGCACTACACAATGATAAAGAACAATGATGAATCTGCGAAACATCTCACAACATGGATGAATCTGGAGGGCATTATGCTGAGTGAAATAAGTCAATCACAAAGGACAAATAATGTATGAGACCACTACTATAAAAATTCATGAAAAGGTTTACACACAAAAAGAAACAATCTTTGATGGTTACGAGGGATGGGAGGGGTGGGGATGGAAAAACACTAAATAGACAATAGGTAAGTGGTAACTTTAGTGAAGGGTAAGACAGTACACGATATGGGGCAAGCCAGCACAACTTGTACAAGGCAAGGTCACGGAAGCTCCATAGACATATCCCAACTCCCTGAGGGACCAAATTGCTGGGCTGAGGGCTGTGGGGACCATAGTCTCAGGGAACATTTAGCTCAATTGGCATAACATAGCTCATAAAGAAAATGTTCTACATTCTACTTTAGTGATTAGCATCTGGGGTCTTAAAAGCTTATGAGTGGCCATCAGAGATACTCCACTGGTCTCACCCCTTCAGGAGCAAGGGAGAATGAAGAAAACTAAACATACAAGGGAAAGATTAGTCCAGAGGGCTAATGGACCACAACTACCACAGCCTCCACCAGACAGAGTCCAGTACAACTAGATGGTGCCCAGCTACCACCACTGACTGCTCTGACAAGGATCACAATAGAGGGTCCCAGACAGAGATGGAGAAAAATGTAGAACAAAATTCTAACTCACAAAAAAAGACCAGACTTACTGGCCTGACAGAGATTGGAGAAAAACCCCAAGTGTATGGCCCCCAGACACCCTTTTAGCTCAGTAATGCAGTCACTCAGGAGGTTCGCCCTTCATCTAAAGATTAGACAGGCCCGTAGGACAAAACTAGACTAAAGTGGCACACCAGCCCAGGGGCAAGGACTAGAAGGCAGGAGGGGACAGGAAAGCTGGTAATAGGGAACCCAGAGTTGAGAAGAGAGAGTGTTGACATGTTGTGGGTTTGTTAACCAATGTCATAAAACAATATGTATACTAACTGTTTAATGAGAAGTTAGTTTCTTCTGTAAACCTTCATCTAAAGTACAATAAAAAAAATTTTAAATATCCTCCCAGATCATGTTATATTTATATATAAATATTAATATTGTATTTATAAAAATGGAGTCATTCTCTATGTATTATTCTGAAAATTGCTTCTTTTCCACCTAATTATATTTCTTGAATGCCTATACAAATTCATTCTTTAATTCATAATTCTATACTATATTGCTCACCCCTTATCAGGCAATGTGCTAGTATTAATAATTTGTTAGGGGCTTTCTATGTAAGTCAAATAATCCTTACAATAACCCTGTGAACTAGATCCTTTTATTGCCTGCATTTTACATATAAGGAATCTGAGGCAAGTTATGGTCTTCAATTCCCTCAGTTACAAGTGTAGGAGCCAGTGTCCAACACCAAGTCTGAGGCCCTAGCTCCAGCTCAGAGACACACAGATGGTTAGACAATCCCGTGACTCCATTCTCCTGATGGCTAATCTTATGTTATCTTTAAAAAAAAATTTCCGGTTATAAAACTAACACAGGTTCTTAGTAGAAAATTAGTGGAGGGTATTGGTAATAAAAGTATAAGGAAGCAAATAAAATTTACCTTCATATCTGTCCCCCAGGATGCTCCATTGTTTACATTTGGGTGAATATCCTTCCAGTCTTTGTGTGTGTGTGTGTGTGTGTGTGTGTGTGTGTGTGTGTGTGTGTGTGTGTGTGTGCTTTCATCACTAGAACCTGTGTGTAAAAGAATAATACACACATAAGAGTTCTGCTATGTGCTTTACATGCATTTTCATTACAGACAATAAAGTAATTTGCTACATAATAGTCATTAGGTGATAGGGTTTAATAAGAAACAACCTTGTCAGGATGTGAGTACAAAAGTATCAGGTTTTACCCCCTCTAGAAGGAAAGACACCAAACCAAACTTTTGAGGGCAATAACCCATGAGTGGTGGGGTTATTAAGAACTTGTAATTTATGGGTGCAAGTTTTAAGCTTTTACTTTTTTCCAATGAATACGTACTACTTTGTAAACGGACAAAGAATAAATG